CAAGGTTCAGTCGCATCAGGTAAAAGGCCTAGGTGTAGTGCACGTGAAGGTTGCAAGGCTACAATTCTGGTTAAGATGGAGAAGTCAGGAAAATGGGTTGTGACAAGATTTGTGAAGGATCATAACCATCCACTCATCATCAGTGCTCGCGGAGTTAGTAATGGAGTGAGATTTCTTCCAAATGTAACATATTCTTTCTTATTCTCTTTTTTACTCCATTTGTGATATATTGCTTGCCTTTATGGGTTCTTGGTCCTAGGAAGGATAGAATACCTGATGTATTTTTGCCTTTATCCATTTTTGTTTTTCAGTTTTGAAAGATTCCGGAGCTTTTGCTGATTTTAACAAATTTGCATAATTCCTGCGTCTCTGTGTTTGCTACAAGCTACTGCTTGTGCCCAAGTTTTATAGGCATTAGAGTAATTTTGGTGATAAAACTCTTACCTTTGGAGGCCCATAAGGACTTCTGATGTGAGGCATAATTTTTTCTTGAAGAAACTTGAATTGTTCCCTGCAAAGCAAAGATGAAGTACCACATGGGATTTGTTTCTCTGGAAGTTATTCTTTCTTCGAGCCCAATGATGATCTTATGTATCTGCAGCATCAACATGAATCGTATATTTGTCACCATGTTACCTACATTTGGTTTTACTTTTGATCACTGTATAGCTTTTGATAATAAACAAATGCTTAGCAAGCTGTTTTGTCCATGAATAAATACGAGAATATGATTAGGATTTTAGAAGGAAGGGATTCTATGTAGTAACTTTTACCAGTGACCTTAGTCCACGGAATATATGCAGAGGATAGAGTTTCAAATTCATTTCTTTTTTGTGCTTCACATGAAATCCATGCTTGCAAATGTAAAGTTAAAAAAGTATTTGTGCGTCTTATGTATGTCTAGGTTGACAAGGATAAGAAGATTGAGCAGCTTACTCTGGAGTTGCAGCGTCAAGACCAGCTTTGTACAGCATACAGAAACAAGTTACTCAACTTTTTGGCCAGTGTTGAGGAGCAAGGTGAGCACCTGTCTTCAAAAATTAATGGTGTTATCGAAAATGTGAAGAAGATTGAAGCTGAGATACAGAAATCATCAGGCCATTGATAGTTTCAGTATTGTTTCGATGTCCTTTGATTCTGTTCCTATGCTATCTGATCAGCTTAAAAGATGATACTAGCTTTGTACAGGATTTCATGTGGTGAGGCCAACAAACACAAGTAGCCTATTATCTTTTTCTTCCTTTTGTAGATCTACTTTGGTAAATTCCGTCATGTCCTAGATATGATTTGCACATGTTCTTATTGAATGCTAGTAGTGCATGCAACCTGTATCCTGTCTTTCTCTAAGCTTCTCTTTTGATCCGAGAAAAAAAGAGTGAAGGATTGTGAATGTGGATGCTAGTAGCAAAGTTATAACAGCACTTGGAATCGCCTGTTCTCTGCCTGCGCTGCTGGGGATGCAGTATTCCTGTCGGACAAGATGATTGTTGTCCATCCTCTTAAATCTGCATTTAATGCAAATATTGGTTCCGAGTAGTATGTAGACTTCGCACTTGCAGGCTTCTTGTCAGTTTAATTGCTTTCTTATCCGTATACAAAATTTAAAAATAGAAATCACTTTGACAAAATAAATTGGCAAAGCTGTATTAGCTCCAAGAAAAATGAAAATAAAGAAAGGAGTGATTTCTTTTTCAGGGTTCCCTATGCAGATTAAAATCCTCACAATGCAGAGGAAGTCGAGTTATAAAATACTGGAATAGTAAGTTGAAAAAATTCTAGAAAAATTCCAAAGAAGGAAAAAGACTTGGAATTCCTCCAACTTTGGGTAAATGACAACAAATATTTTTCACCAAAAAAAAAAAAAAAAAAAAACCCACATTGCTACTCAATACTAGTAACTTCAAGGCCATAGAAACAAGCACGGTAATTTCGGGCGCGAGTAAAAGGTGCAGTCACTACAAGATTTGACGCGAAAGGTTTATCAAAGTCTAAGGGCAAAAACTTCAACGGCGACTGACAGATAAAACCATTTCTGGCGGTTGCCCGTTTAGTCGGACATTAAAGCCGGAGAGATCAGCGTTAGTATTAATTGGTAACCGTCTTTACACCGATAGATAACCTGGCAACTGCCAGCGCAGATAGGCGGCCTTGGCTTGGGGGGCTGCCTGACGCCCAACCCCAAACCAGTAAGTTTCTTGCATTCTTTCTTCTGCTCACCACCCACCCTAACAGTTTCTTCTCTCTTTTTTTTTCCCCTTGTTAATTTTGAAATTTGAGCTTGCAACTTTTGTATACTTCACCCCAATTAATTGTTTTAATCTTGGAGAATTTAATTGTCAATCTAGCCACTGCTTTTCTTACAAAAATGCACTGTTATACTGTTTAAGACGAAAATACAATTGGGTTTGTAATGCTGTGTAGTATTTAAACCCGAATCTGCATAGAATTCAAAATTTTATACGCTCACAGTTTCTGAGCTCAGATATGACAAAAAAAAATGCGTTTATGTAACTATCTGATTACGACAATTGGATTTCTATGCCTTGTTTTCGACAATTGGATTACTACTACATGTTGTTAGTTCAATTCCCCCACCCCCCCCTACTTTTATTTGGGTTGAAGTGGGATAATGTGATCGAACTTGAAACACAGCATAATGTGAATAGCTGGGACAATAAACAACTTCCAGCCATACTGCCCAACTGGTGGAGGCCTGAGAAGGGGGGGTTGAGTTTTGGATTAATGGTGGAAGCTATTGTTTAAGCTGTACGTTTGATTTACCAATTACCCAGTAATTAAACTGATTTTCCTGCTGGCAGGCTTGGATGCTGGAGCTGCTTCAGTGAACAGTTCCGCAGAAAGGCAGCCTGGTGCAAGCGAAGAGATCTCAGTTCAAGAACCATATGTAGGGATGGAGTTTGATTCTGAAGATGCTGCAAAGGAGTTTTACGATGATTATGCAAGGCATCTAGGGTTTGTCATGCGTATTGATCAGTGCCGGCGTTCAGAGGTTGACAAGAGGATTCTTTCCCGGCGGCTTTCATGTAATAAACAGGGTTACTATGTCAAAATGAAAGACCAATATGGTCCAGTTCGGAAGCCACGCTCCAGCACTAGAGAAGGTTGCAAGGCAATGATGTTGGTAAAGGTTAATAAGTCTGGTAAGTGGGTGGTAACCAGATTTGTGAAGGACCACACTCATCCATTGGTTGCTTCTAGTCGAACTTGTCGTACTGCCATGGTGAGTTCTTGTCTCAGAGAAAGGTAGCAATTGTCACTTTCCCAACTTATTTATTCCAGTGTTTAGTTGACAGAGATGCTGTGCTGAAGCTCTGGCATCTGTTTGACTTCTTTAATGATGAGACATCTCACAGGCATCCACTTAGTTGCAATCCTGAATAGGATTAGGCATGTAACTGGTTCTCTTGGGTTTTAGTCATCGTAGACTATATTTTTCATAGGACTAAATTATGCAAGGAGATGAGAAAGTTGCATCATTCATTCAAAGAAACAACATTACCTGTGGAGTTCTAGAATGTTTTCTACTTAAACTGGTTCATTTGGATTAAACTTCCTGTTATATTTTGAAGATCATCAGCCTTTCTTATTGTAGTTCCTTGTAGAGTTTCAAATGTTGCATTTCATAGTTAGCTGCTTGGTGGTTGTGTTTGTAGGATCACAAGGACAGGAAAATACAGGAACTGACACTGGAGTTGGAGCGCCAGGACAAACTGTGTGATCTTTATCATGAACAGATAATCACATTCTTGCAAAGTGTAGAGGAGGAAACTGGGCTTCTGTCAACCAAGATTGAAGCTGCTGTTAAGAATGTCATGGAAATGGAGGCAGAAGCTAAACAGCAATCAAACCTGCAACAAGCGCATCTTCAGTAGATACGTAATTTACTATTTTCAGAGAGCTCTTCTTTATGTTAGATTAAAGTTGGTTCTTTTGATTTTTCAAGTGTAGTTTGGCTGAGTGAAAATTGACTGTTTAGATAATAGTAGTATAATGCGGAGATATCAATTGAAAATTTGTTTTTATGGCATCTTCTCTTCTCTGGAGTGCTAAATTATTTCTTTCATGTATTGCAGCATACTACTTCTGGGAAAAGAAATGCGGCTGTTGGTTGTGGATATTAGGGCATTAAGCAGTATCAAATGTATATGGGCAGAGTTATTGTAAATGAATGGCAGAACAGCCAAGCTATTCAGCAATGTGGGGTGCATCCTTCCCCTATTTGTACAAGAGGAAGGAGGAACAAAGCCTGGTCAGAGGCTTCTTTTGCATGAGTTGGGAATAAGGACCTGGCTTGTGGGCTGGTGTAATAGAAATGTAGATTGGAGAAACAAACTGAAGTCGATTTCTGTTTGTGCGAAATGATCAGATTGGGATTCGCTGGCACAGTACTCATTTGATGCTATAGGTGGGTGAAATTATGTAACCTTCCTCTGTTGAATGCGGTATCATATTTCCAACACCGGATGCCAAACTGTTGTTTGCGCCTTACATGTCCCCCCCCCCCCCCCCCCCTTTTTTTTTTTTAAATGTCCCATCTTGTGAAGTCAGGAAGATGATGATCTAAGAACAGACTGGAGGCCTCTTCCACCAGAAAGTGCATTTTTTTTAATTTTTTTTCGGAGCATATGCTAGTAGTAGTAAAGTTTGTAAATTTAGAATGTTGTCTTGAGAGGCAATTGGTAGTTTTGTTGCAAGTGTTGATTTTCAACTAAGAAACGGTCACAATAGTACTGGCTCGAAGCTATAAAAAAAAATTTATATCAAATTCAAGCATTGAAGAAATGTTAAATCGGACTTTATGATTCAGTGTCATTGATTCACAGAAAAATCAAAATCTCCCGAAATTTTTGAGTAGATTGAACTGAAAAGTAAAAAAAAAAATCAAAAAAAAGAGAGAGAGGGAGAGTGGAGTGCGTCGGGAATTAGATATGGTCCGCGACGCAAATAATTAAAAAGCCCAGAGACTGTGTGGTTTAAAAAACCCGTCACGAAGTTGTGACCGGGGGATCTCAACATCGTGTAGGTGAGATCCTTGAGACCTGATAGACCTCTCCGTACGGCGCACTCCTCATTTTTCTCCATTTCCAGAGCTTCCGAAAATAGGCGGCAAATATTTCCAGTTGCCGGCTGGCAAGCGGGAACTGGGAAGTGGCAACATCAAATCAAATCAAATCAAATCCAACCGCAATTCATCTGATTGAGCCGGCTAACGTTTAACCCAAGCTTTCTTTCATAAGTAGTTAGGGTTTCTGTTTTCGGTACGTTCTTCTTCCTCTTTCCTTTCTTTTTAACTGACTTTATTAACTTCTCCTGAATTTGGAATCATTAACCTCATATTACGGAGTTAAAATCCACTAATTAAGACTCTTCAACTGTTTATTCTTCTTAAGTTTCTTTAATCGTTAATTTTTATACGCTTTTTATTTTTGTTTTTAATTCTTAAATTTCTACGGCTTAGTTAATATGATGAATGAAGAAGGTGTCAGTAGTGAGAAGAATGAGAAGCATTATCACTTTGTTGGATCAAAATGGAGTGTGGAGATACTTCAGATACGGTCGAAGGGTTCATTTTTCTGATGTTTTGGAGGGAAAAACCCGCTTTCAATTGAAGCAATTGTCCACAGGCTTCCATTGTTATGCTTGAATCTGTGAACTTATTCACACGACCTTGTATAAATTAGGCATTGTAAGAGAGGCATTTATACGGGAGATCTTATATGTAGGGAAAAAACCAGTCTGGCGAATGGCAGTAGTAGGTCGGTGTTATAGAGTCCATCCACCGCTGATTTATCCCTGTTGTTACTCCCACAGGAAAAGCACCATTTTATGATTTCACTTAAGAATGACGGAGTATAGTCAGTGTGTCATTTACTGGGGATAATGAGCCTCCATGCATACAAATGGTGTCAAAGAGGATGGACTTTGCTCACTCAATTCCCGCAAATTTATAAGCTGGTGTCTAACCCTTGCTTTCTCGAAACGTTGATTTATTTGTCAAAAATATGTCTCGATCTTATTAATTTTGCAATCTCATTAATAGAATGAGGTTTCTCAATCATAAAAGCAGACCACAGAGATTTTCAAGCATCTTGTGACCAATTTTCAGAAAATTTATGTTATACTTTTGCTTTTTTCCTTGGCCACTTGTTGATGGTCATTTCCTCATGCTGCAGCACAACAATGATGGACTTGCAGATTCTATAGGTTTGTGCGCGCTATGGACAACTCAACAAGTCAAGTATTTAATTCTGTTGAAAGAAAAAGCTTTCTGCCTATTGACAGTAATGGCAATGTTTTTCTTGATGACGAGCTCTCAACAAGCATGGAGTTATGCATAGGCGAAGATGATAAATGTGTTGGACAGCTTATAGCTATGCCATTGACTGAGAATGTTGTTGAGCCCCACATAGGCATGGAGTTTAATTCAAGGGATGATGCTCGAGATTTTTATGTTGCTTATGGCAGGCAGACAGGCTTTACTGTCCGCATTCATCATAACCGCCGGTCACGCATCAATAACATGGTTATTGGTCAAGATTTTGTTTGTTCCAAAGAAGGTTTTCGTGAAAAGAAATATGTGCAGAGAAAAGATAGAGTTCTTCCTCCACCGCCTGTCACTCGTGAAGGTTGTCCTGCCATGCTGAGGGTTGCTTTTAAAGATGGAGCTAAGTGGGTAGTCACAAAGTTCGTGAAAGAGCACAATCACAGTTTGATGTCTCCTAATAAAGTTCCTTGGCGAGGTTGTGGAAAGAATTTGATCAACCAGGTACTCTCTCTCTCTCTCTCATGGACGAACTATTGAGTTGGCCTTGTTCTCAGGACTGGATGAAAAGCATCATTATGCCATCAAGATGTGTATTTGCTTATTTAAGCTTAATTAACCTTTGTCTCCAGTAATGGAACTCATGGTTTTGAGGAGAATAGGTTGATGATAGATAGAGTAACATGCAGAGTAGCATAGTCAGATGGGAGATTTCATTTTAAAGTTGATCCATGTATTGCAAATGGGATGATTTAGTATTTGGTTTTTTCAGGATGAAAAAGATCAAAGGATTCGAGAGCTCACACTTGAACTTTACAATGAAAGGCAACGATGTAAACGTCGATGTGCAGTTTACCAGGAACAATTGCAGACATTGTTGAAATATATTGAGGATCATACTGACCACTTATCAAAGAGTGTTCAGGAAGTAGTTGAGCGTGTACAATCTATTGAAAATGAAGAACTAGAAGACTCAGATTAGCTTGGTTTGTTTGTAGAAATTCTTTTGTTCCTTATTCATTTGTTTTTATTTAATTTACCTGATCTAACTTGTAAAAATAGAAATAGTTGGGAAGGTCCAGTTGAGTTACTATATTGTCCATTAACATGACCATCTGCATTAATCAACATGTACTTAGATGTGATAAACTCTCTAATCTTTAGGTTTTTCTCAAGTAGTTTTCTGCTTGATGGAAAATGTGAAGTGCAAATTGAGAGGGAAATTTACTCTTTTATCCTTTGTTTCCTCATCTCTTTCCTGCTGTTTAACATCTATAGCCTAAGTTTTCTACTGGTTTCTGGAGATGACTAACCTATGGTTTGTTATCAATTTTCCTGTGACTGGTTAGGAGCGGCCCACCAAATGCGTGATTATGGTGGCTTCATTTGCTACTGGTATACAGCAGAAATCCTTCCCATTAATCAGACTTGGTTGAGGAGCTGCCCAACTCAAAGCCTTGACCTTGGGTTGACATGATAATAGCTCATAGCAGAGAACTATACCTTTGCCTGTGTATTTTCTTCTTTTTGCTTTGTGAAACGGTGTTGTGGAACTGAAGCTTGATATGTCTCGGCCTCTGTTGTTTACCGGTTCAGTGTCTTTAAAGCGACGAATGCAACAACATGCACCAGCTAATTGTTGGGAGCTTTGGCCATGTGCACCACTCGAGTTTAGTCATTGATAACTTTTGTTTTTTTAATGTTCTTTGCCGCTGGAGGAGTTTAATTAGCATCATTTAACCTCCTAGAAAACATTCTACGGAAGAAAATGTACCACACACACGTATTGAAGCTAACTAAATCTGATTGTGCGGTTTTACTCGCACAAGCTACAGGGCTCATAGAGAAGGTCTCACCTAATAGTAGAAAAATTCTGGAGGACGAGGGCATAATGAATCTCTATCATCTTATTTTATTCAGGTTGTTTTGCTTATCGCTAGTAAGGCTAGGGAAGTTATTAGTCTTATCATCTTATTTTAAATTAGGTTGTTTTTGTTAAATCTTCTAGTAGGCTAGAGATAGCATGCGAGCATGAACTAAGCCACAAATGCTAGACGAATTGGAAGTTCTGATTTGTAATGTTCTTGATTTAAATATATTAAACTTTTAGTTTTGTTTCAAAAAGATTAGCTACGAAAAGTGACTGACTAAAAATTTCAATCCCATTCCAGTTACTCGTAATCAGGCAACAACATATTTGCTGAGATTTTAAAAACCTGAAGTGGGGGAAGGCCCGGAAGGGTACTTGAAGCTAGGACCTCAACCTCACCCGTGAGACCAACACCTCCTCAACCGTCCACTAAGGTATGATGGCTTTTAAAGGAAAGAGCACACAACGCTGGCTCTAATTATTGCCCTTTGGTCAGATACATTAGTCACAAAAAATATAGTCACAGCATATGCATATGACAGTTAATTGCTAATAAAGGTCCAATGCATCCCATTGCCAAGACTAGTTCGCACAAGAAATTATCAAGCTCAATACAAAATCAGTCATAAAACTTTATATCGATTTAACAAATCGATTGTTAACAAAGCCACTGCAAGAGACCATCCACTTTAAGGAGTTGGCGTAATCTGCCCAAGAATCAGATGCACTTTGTGAGCTAGGCCAAGCTCAATGTTTCACACAAGAAACATAGTCCAAGTGGCCAACTTTAACCTTAGTAAGATTGGCAGCAACAGTTGATGAGCTTCCAACCCGGGATACTATCATCATTCACAACCCTCGGAAAACACAACGTATCAATATATATTGCACCCAGTGGGTCCTATTAGTGTCCAATATGAGAAACCTAGTCCACGAGGGTACATAGTGCATTAAAATGGTTCTGCTCAAAAAATCCAGATAAGTGCGTCGTGCATCCGTCTGATCCGGTACCTTCTGAGTTATCCTGAAACCTCTTCAAGTCCTCTCTCTTCCCCTAGTGTCCTCTCTCTTCCCCTAGTGTAGGATAATTTATCGTATTCACAAAAAAAAAAAAAAAATAGAGAGCAACCTAGTCCATGAGATTGCATGTCCAACGGCTAGGCAGTACATGACACAATTTGTTAGTGATGATCTTTCGTCTCAAACCAGCCTGCATGTCCCTATCAAAACAATTGCAGTCCCGCTTCTCGCTAAACAAAATGCCTGATGTGTCTGAAGCTTTAGCATTTTTTCTCATGTCTCTGGTGCAATTTGAATTGTCCAAAAGTTTAGGTACTCAGAGGTCTGGAATGCTACGATTTCTTCTTCTGTGTATATTGCATTATCCTCAGAAAATATAGCCCAGTCATCATCGTCTCCTCTTGTTCTTCAGAAGTGATGCAGCTTGTATAACCATCTTATCAACCTCATCAAGATCAGGTACAGTTACACCCTGACCTGATGATTTCTCTCTTCTTGAGTCAGCCGATATTTGACGCAGATGCTCTTCAAAATCTTCTATTTCTACATACCTTTGCGGCGGAAACTTTTCAAACACATCTAGATAGAGATGCTGCTCCGACTTCTCCTCATTCTCTGACTCAGACTCAGTTTCAAATATATCTGATAAAGCATCAGAATCTGAATTCAACCCCGAATCCATCATTGAGTCATCATCCTCATTGAGTTCATCACTTTTAGATATCAACTCTTTCAATCTTTCTGATCCCTCCAATGTTAGGTCTGAGGGCGACGTAGAGTCAACAGTTTCAGCAGTTGTTGATTGATTTTCTGCAGAAGCATCAACCTTGCTTTCTACCTGTGCTTGAAGAAGCTCAAGGTCCTGCTCAAGTCTGGGAATATATCTCCTAACAGCTCTTAATGCATCCCTATATTTGGATTTATCCAAAGCCTGCATCCAAAGGCGAAAATGAGAGTGGAACAAGGACAGAGAGAAGAGACTGGAGCTGAAAATGAAGAATTGTAAACCAGAACCCCAAAAAAAAAAAAAAAAGAGGGTCAGAACCACAATAAAAGGAGCACAACCTTCTTCCTAGAGAGAGTGCTCCGGGGAGACATTATCTCTGTTGGAGGCTGAGAGTAGTTTTTTCCCCTATACATAATTATAGTGTTGTCATCCTCAATGTCAAGCACAATCCCACCGCTTAATCGTGCCAGCTCAGCAGCAATCTCCCTGACCTCTTCAGGAGAGAATGTCTTCACTACCACTTTCAAAGTCTGATGCTTTTTCCAATGCAAGTGCATATTTAGGATCACACCTTGGTATATGCCTCGCCTTCCAACAGGCACATAATTCTTACATTTCTGACCCATCTTCAAAAAGTAAAAGTGTTCTTCTGGAGTCAATATCTCGGGATCATGTGTAGTTTCAGATGACTCCTTGGGCTCAATCTTTTGAAGAGATTCAACAAGCCTTTCCTCTTTTTTCCGAGCCTAAGATGGAAGATGCAAAAAAAAAAAAAAAGCACAGGAGATTCCGTTCGTGGTTAATGCATCTCACACTAGAGCATGACAAAGTGCATCATGAATGTGTTTATAACAGGTCCACCAGTTCGTATTACATCCTCTTCACAATCAGTTATAGTAAGTACAGCTCTCTGCTACATTGATTAGGCTAGACACAAGCAGATGAAAAAAATATTCAAAGAACCTCCATTGAGAATCTGAGATATATAGAGCTAAACCCTTCTAAATCATATCCATATACACAGGGAATAAAACAGGGGTAAAAAAAACTTGGGATCTGAATGGCAAGCTGTCGTAAGCAACATATATCCAGTACTGTACTTTATAAGAGTGGCAAAGTCTTTACCTTTTTCAATTTGTAAACAATTTTTTCTTCGGCAGTCATTCTCTCATAGTCTTTCTTCTTTTTCCACCTGAAGAACTTCAACCACCTCACCACAGCCCTTTTTCCCTTGAGTTTCTTCCTCTTCTTCTTTACCTCACTGAAACCATCCCCACCATCACCAACATTTCCATTGCTGTCAACAGCTTTATCTGCTCTGCTTAAAGATCGACCAGAATGTATCCACGAAATACCTCCAAGATTGCACTTTTGGAATCCATAACCTTGCCCAATTAAGGATTCTCTACCAAAATCCTTGCACAAAACGCCACAGACACTACTATACAATAAGATTCAATATGAACCCAGAAATTGATTATGCGATAAAACAAACCTAATTTGCAAAAATAAAAAATGCAGACTACTAAAATATATATGTGTCATTACCTGGGCTTGGAAAGAATGGAATTAGATAAGTAAGGCAAGAAGAACAAATGATTAGACTGATTAGAGAATAGATGTCTAAGTTTTGCTGAAGCAGAATTTAATCTCCTAACCATCATCTTGGAGTCCAACAATTGTAAGGGAACAGAAAGAAAGCAGTGAAGAGCTATCCGATCTTTCTTTGCGGGAAAAGGGGGGTTTTTAGGCCTTTGCATATGTTTGCGTAGATTGGGCTTCATTCGGAAGTTGGGCTTTCATTCGCCTGAATTTTGACTTTGAGGTTCAAAAGAAAAGACAGAAGGAGAAAAAAGAAAAGAAAAAAAAAACTAATTCTTGGCAATCTTTCCACTTCCTCAACAAATTTTTTGAGATCAGGTGATATTTCTTGTCTATTCATCGCTTTTCTTGTAAACCGGTATTGATTGACTAATATAGACCAAAATCTATCTATTATTGTTTATTCTAACTATGCTGTTCTTCAAGTGTCAATTGATTGGTATGTATCTCTAGTAGATTACTGTTGTTTGTTGCTGATAATTGACTCTTTTTTTTTTTTTTTGTTTTGAAATTGCTCATAGTCTAGGTGTGGGGTCTTGCACCACAGCCTTTTCCTTATAATTGGTGTTCTATTCAAACCGATCCTTTGCTGTCCCTGCTGCAATTACTATCCCAAAACATTTTGTACTACTAAGCAGCTTAAATATTCCAAGAAGCAACTCCTTAAGACATGCAACAGACCCTTGGGACTGTATGATCAAGGCATGAAACTTAAGTGCTCTCACCAATTGAAAAGCTTCATCCAGATGAAAATATACAAGCCACGGTCTTCACGGCTATATACAAGACAAGAGTCCACAAATCCTCTCACAAAAGAGAAGATCAAATTACAGAACACAAAAACTAATAATGTTAGTGACTTATTAGGAAAAAAAAAAAAGAAACAAATTAAGAAAAACAGAGAAGAAAATGGCCAGAGAAGATCCATTCCCCAGAAACTAACTAAAAGAAAAATCTAAATCATTACAAGCCCACTATTACATGAAACTTTTGCACATTAGTATTAAAGCCACAAATACGATTCCATCTGCGGAAGTTGGAGAGATGCAATTAGCGCAGCATCACTCATTGGAGGTCTCCTTTATATGATGAAGAAAGGTTGTTCCTCCATGAAATCTCCTTCTACAATAGTTATTAAAGTCAAAGCCAAATTATTAACTTAAATTACGTAATTAATAGTGGTATTTCTCAAGAAACCCTTTTCTCTTCTTTCTATTTTGAAAGAAAAATATTCTTTTTCCCGGGTCGACCTCAAGTTAAGGCAGCAAATCCACCACCCTTCATCATCTGCCTGAATTCCCTGTAATTTACCATTCCATCTCCATCCACGTCAACTTTCTTGATCATCAACTTGCAGTCTTCCAAGGTTCTCCCTTGTTTCAACCCTAGCGACGACAACACCGATCTCAACTCTTCCACCGTAATAAATCCGTCTCCGTTTTGATCAAAAACGTTGAAAGCTTCCCTCATGTCCTCCTCCTCGTCTCTCTCGTCCATTATTGTTTGGTACAACGACCCAAACTCGTCGATATCTACATATCCGTCTCGGTTAACGTCAATCTTATCGATCATTTGGACGAGATCTTTTTCTGGGATGTAAATTCCCAAGTTCTGTAGCGAGTCATTCAGCTCTTTCTTTGTAATTTTTCCGTCGCCGTTGCGGTCGAACATTTGGAAAACCCGACGGAGCTCTCCCGGATCCATTTCTTAAACCGGCTAATTTTTGTTTATCAACATATACCAGATGGCTTTAGGTACGCTGGATGCAGCTTAAAGAGGAACACAAAGAAACAATATGACAACAATTTTACATGTTATACAGATAGAGGGAAAAAAAAATCACTAGGAAAAAAAAGGAAGAGATGCTAACAAATTTTGAGGATTATGGGAAAGCCAAAGGGAAGGTCGAAATTCCCGGGGAAAATGGTTGGCAAATTGTGTTAGAGATAGAGATATATATACATATACATATACACGCATGCACAGGGCTTTATGATGAATGTAAAGGGACTTGAGGATACCCACTAAAGTCGTCTAATGACTGGTTAAAAGTTGTGGAATTGAATTGGGGATTTTGGTTTTTGTAGAATGCAATAGAATATGAATACTCGTACGATAATTGACGCATTCTGGATACATAGGCTGACTGACAGACTGTAACAGTCAAAGTAAACCTATCAGTGGAAGGCTGACCGATTTTGGTAATTGTAAGAGTCAAAGTAAACCTATCAGTCTAGACTTTTTCAAAAGCTCCTCAGACCATTGAGGATTTTTTTTTTTTGTCAAACTTCAACTGCATTATATAGACCATTGAGGATTCGAAGACTAGCATATTGATAAGTTGTCAATCTGCTTATATATTTTGTCGAATTTTACCGTGGTGACATTAATAGTAGCGAGAACGAAACCCAAATAATTAGATTTAATTGTTGAGATTCAAACTACGTCTTCGACCTGCGAGTCTGAAGTGTAACGTAAGACTAGAGTTGTAATCGAACCGAGCTGCTCGCGAGCAGCTCGATCAAAAGCTTGACTCGAACTCGGTTTGACCGAGTTCGAGTCGAGCTCGAGCAGCTCGATAAGACTATCGAGTCGAGTTCGAGCATCCAGAAGAGATGCTCGGAGATTCGACGAGCCTTATCGAGCATATTTAATTTTAATTATTTAATATATTATTATTAAAATTATATATATTATTTAATATATAAAATTACCATTGAGCAAGTTTCGAGCTCCAATAATACTACTCGCTCGAGCTCTATGACGATACTCGGGCTCGACTCGACTCGATTACAACCCTACGTGAGACTCCAAAGAAATTAGTCTCTAAGGTTGAGCCAAAAATAAATAAATAAATAAAAAGTTAGGCTCCAGTAATTTGAGTTAATCATTTTAAGATCGTGAAAGTTACTTGAACCAATCCGTGGATCCAAGACCTAACAATTAAAAACTATGTGGCCGTAACATATAAGCACTTAAACTGCATGACAACTACTTTAAATTTAAAATCCCAATTCTGTATATTAATTATACACCCAATCACATATTATGGAAAATGATATTAGCATTTCTAAAAAAAAACATCTAACACTCTGTCCTCCCTTTTATAAGTATAAATGGAGGATGAAGCGTTAGAAACTTTTTTGAGTATGCCAATAACATTTCCCCATAATATGTATATATATATATATATATATATATATATATATATAGACACACACATCCATGCACACGCATTGTTTTAATAGATATAAGATAAACTCTTATTTTAATAAAGGCTATTGGGAGGTATAGATTTAGGATAAAATGGCGTAGAGCTGTTTTCTTACATTAGTGAAGCTGCATCTATCAAAAAAAAAAAAAAAAGTGATGCAAAAGATAAGAAAAATTGACCCAATATTTTATCAAAAGGCAGCCTGCCAAGTTTTGCACGTCACACCATTTTTAGTCCAGAGGAATTATTCTCAAGTGTTCAATTCGTTGCTTGAGTCAGACATCAATACATTTATCAGCCTAGGAACTTTTTCAGTTCTGTGCAGAATTCACTTATCCATAATTCCAGAAGTCATGGTGCACAAGCAATAATCTAATGTGATGGCTATAATTCGAACTGATGAAATGTCGTGAATCATTAATTGCACAAGTTGCTGATACAAGCCAGACCAGTAAGAGCATGATCACCTTATTTCAGGGCAAGAAAACTGCCCATCTCAGGACATCTAAACAGCAACAGCTTCTGCTTTTCAAAGACCCACATATATATGGTCCAATCTACAGCTAAGCCATTGGAGTCTACCTGATACTTGATACTGAAAGTCAATATGCACATATAATGGTGGATTAATTTCTCTATATATTGGTGGCAAAAAAACTGGTCAATTGTCACTGTCGGAATCTATACGTACTAATATATGCCCACCAAGCTGAGTTAGTTCGATGGGTAAAATGAATTTTTTTTTAAATTATCACAACTGGCCATCGTGCTGAGTCAACACGACAGCCATTAAAATTTTTTATTTCATGATTTAAGAGCCCGCATTGCAAAAAAAAAAAAACACGAGGACCTCCAAACATTATTAGTTTTTTTGTAGTAAAATCTCTTAATATCGATAGAGTGTCAATTTTTCTCTTAATATCTTTTTTGGATAACCTTAAATTATGTAAACCATCTAATTTTAATTATCCATCTAATTATTTATACTTCTTAATTAAATAAATAGCAAATGTTATTTGACTTCATCACGTAGGCCATGCTCGTGACGTCTACTTCCACGAGATGATGCCCGTGTTTGGCTAGGAAGACGTCCAACTGACCTTTGGTGAGGGATATTGTGCGACATAGAGGCACCACTGTCCTGTCGCTCCGTGGGCTCGAAAATCATGCGATCAAATCGCCGAAGGTACTGCATAGACCCGAATGCTTCATCCGCAATCATCACTAGACTCGGATGAAAACTATGTGTAGGGTCATCATGCTGGAGCCCGTCCAAAGATTGGTGGGCAATGCGATGCATACTATCCATCTGTTTTCATGAATATACACAAACGGTTAGCATTTCGGTGAGAATAGAAAACAACTTTTACAAAATACGCTTCTTCGAATATCAAAATTAACAAGAAAATCACCAGATACTCGAACTGTCCTGAAGCCTCATAGTGCACGTGCCCGGACTGCGGATGCTTGCGAAGTGGAGGTGTAATATACAAGACGGTGTGACGATGATACCAGCTTAGATAGTCGTTTGAAGGACTGAATGTATGCGTCGACTCTCCTGAAACTTCAGCATTAGCACGGTCATTCCAATGACCTATCCAAACACTATGAAATTCAGCCCAATTTCTTCCTGCAAATCCGGCCAAACCAAGTTGATGCAATCCCCCCCGATCAGTGTCAACGCTCTGGGGAATGTTTTGCTTCATTCCGAATTGACGCAAGACTCGATCTGGGAAATAAAACTCAACAATGTGCCAAAATATCAGCGGGACCCTTGCCCTCCATATACGTGCGCCTCGTCTGCAATATTCGGGCAAAGATGCTAGTACATCATCAGGGTATGGCATCCAGATGAACTGTCAAAAGAGTAAACTAGTAAGGAGTTTATGAATTTTATAATTTATAATAGCTAATCGTTAATTGAGTGGAATTGCCAAAATACTTGATCCATCCGTAGCAAAGATAGTTGCTCTCGATAATATGATACGTCCTGACTAGGAGGGTCAACCCCAGTACGCTCGGCTGACCATCTCCCTCCTCTAGGATAATCACCAGTCAATCGTGGAAGAGATACGTCAGGACGAATTGTCGGAATCCGCTCCCACGCCCATAGCTGTTACATTAATAAAATCATGATGCTACGAACACTCTTATGCACATTCCAATAGTACGAAATGATGTATTATGTAATAAGCATGTAATTATTTACCTGTAGTAACAAGTATGGTCCACCAGTGGTATTCTGCCCCACATGCGATGCATGACACATACGTGAGTATAAACAGGCCAGTACTGCACTCCCCCAACTGTACTTACTCATGGCCTCCAAATCACGCACATAATCGAGCCAGTTAAGGCTAACAACATTACCACATGAGTCTGCAAATAGCAACCCGCCTAATAAAATTAGAATGCACATTCGAGCATACTGGCGAACCATCTCATCTGGAGCATCTGGCGGTAATTGTGTTCCTAGTCGTGCATACATAGATGACATCTTTAGCCGCCCTTCCCTGAAACAATTATCCTCTGGCCAAAATCCCAAAACCTCTTGAACTAGATGTTTGCGCTGAAGTGGACTTCGTTTAACATGGATCAAAGTAACCGGCAACCCATCCACGGGCAAGCCCCATAGTACCTCAACATCCTGCAATGTGACAGTCGCCTCACCCATAACAGGAAGATGAAATGTGTGTGTCTCCTGTCTCCAGCGCTCAACTAGCGCGGTGATCAAGCCATGGTTTACCTGAAGATAACCGGCCCTACGTACCCCACCAAAACCAGCTATGTCAATGTAGCGAGATATTCGAGGGTCAGAATGTCTAAAGATATCAAAAAACTTTTTATCACAACGTCTCACATCAAGGACGTCGCCTGCGCCATGAAAGACCGCAGTGGATCTGTGATGCGTCTGCAGATACAAAACGCTCGGATCAATCGGACCGGGATGCGGAGGTGGTGTGCTTCTAGAACGTAGATGTGGTGCTACACTAGGACCCGCATGTTCATGAGTGGTAGCCCCTTCGCCTAAGTTGCCTGCCTGCCCAGATGTATCATATTCATGGTCATTATCACCAAAATCATCAGCCTCTGGTTCTGGTTCAAGTGTGCTTCTAGAACGTAGATGTGGTGCTACACTAGGACTCGCGTGATCATGAGTGGTAGCCCCTTCGCCTGAGTTGCCTGCCTGCCCAGATGTATCATATTCATGGTCATTATCACCAAAATCATCAGCCTCTGGTTCTGGTTCAGAGTCCACATCCACATCTACCAACTCAATATCAGTATTTGTTGCAGCATCAAGCACTGTAGCTGCATTAGTGTTCGAATCACGAGTCTCCAATGTTGGCATGTGACTACTACTGGGACAATCCTTCTCTATACGGTGCTCACTACCTCTTTTTCGTCCTCTTTGAGCCTGTTGGACATCTCTATGTGGACTTGCTATTGGCAAGGTCTGATTATCACATTGTCTCAAACCTAAGAGCTCCTCCACCTCCACATAAATCTCAGTGGCATGCCCACTTTTGGCTTTTAAAAAGTACATTCCATCAACTCCATTATCATCTACCAAAGGCATCGCACCAAACACACCATGTTGCACACAATTTCGAAATATCAAACTAATCTTATGTCGATTCTGGTCTAGACCCATAATGCTGTATACTTTGTCTATCAACTCATTAAAGCCTACCCTTTCTCTAAGGAACATAACCTTTTTCGGCATCGGGGGATCGTAAAACATTGATCCTCCAGCATATATAATTTTGCCTCCCCAATAAAGTTGAATTACCAAGGAATTATCGCTTGACATGTTCCACCTAATCTAGCATAACATTAATTTAATAATCTCATTATCAATTAAAATTACATGTTAAAACTACATTAATTACACCAAGTTAAATCAATAACTACAATAATTACACATATCTAAATAATTAATTAGATTAATTACACTTATTTAAATTATTAACTACATTGATTACACCTATTTGCACTATTAATCAAACATAATTAATTACATTTAAAACTACAGTAATTACCCCTGCATTAATTTTTTCTTACTCCCATATTCTACCAATTCAATTATAACCTAAATAATCTAACTAAGCAGGAGGTCAAATAATTATATTAATTACCAGTTTTAACTACATTAATTACACCTACTTGAAGTCTTAACTGATTAATTACACTTAATTGAATGATTAACTACACTTAATTGATTGCACTTATGTATATTATAAATTTCTTGTAATTAATTTATTTATCTACAAGTCAAAACTATATTAATTACACCTAAATTAATTTATTTATAATCCTGTAGTTAGCCCATTAAATTAGTAACTAATTAAACTAATCACATGGCCAATTAAAAAATTTAATATTATAAAATTACGTTAGTACTACGTTGATTTCATCTATTTATAAAAAAAAAAAAGTACGAATAAAATATTTATACTATATTAATTTGCTCTTCAATATCATATACATTAAATAAATTATGAATTCTAAATTATTTTATTGTTATGAACCATTATTTTAAATTTATTAACTGTTAATTTACATGGTTGGACTAGAACAACATAACATAAAACAATATTACAAAATTTACCATACAATAATATAGAATACATTCTCTGTTTAAAACCAACTACATAAAATTAAATAAGACAATCAAGAAAGTACATACAAATAAGATTAAACAAGTATTCCACTTGCCTCAAGATTTGTTTGCCTTGTGGTGCCTGACACTCGAAAATATGACGGGGTGTTTTGTGGTGACGCGAGAGGAGCAGACGGATTCCCTTTCCAGCTGACCTTACTGAATGTGAATGTGAATGTGAATGAGAGTTCCTTTTTGTTAGAGGGGGAGAGAGTCGAAAGGAGAAAGAGCGTCCCGTCCGGTGCAACGAAGAAGCTCTGTGTGAGAGAGAGAGAGAGAGGAGAAAAAAGGTAATCTTAGAGAGAGAGAGATAGGAAGGTTCTGAGAAATGAGCTTTACAGGGCTAGAAGTGGTACTAATTGATGATCTAGCCGTTGATCAGCGAACAGTACCCAATGGCTATTTTTTAAAATTATTAAAAAAAAATCTGTTAACCCACCCAACATGCCTGGTCTAAGTTTTTTCAAAAAAATAAATTTTGGTGCCCTGTGCTGACTCAGCACAACCGCGCTTTGTAATTTATTATCTATTACATAGTGGAGTACAATGTATGTATAATACGGATTCGATAGGTTCATATTCAGTCCATTGCGGCATGACTTCTTCGCGTTTGATTCATCACCGAACAATTAAAAGTTTTGAAATCCCATTTACCGACCGACCTTCTCGTTTGGGGATTGTGGGAAGTGGGAAACATTTGCCATCAAGTTAGCTTTAAGTTGTTTGTTAAGCAGAGCAGCAAAATTCCCATCTTGAAGGAATCCAATCGCAATATCTATTTTGCTCATCTCAGAATATGATCAAACAGCGAAACAAATGAATGATTAAGGAAAAGCATGGATAAATGTAATCCAACCATGTGTCCATTGAGATCATAGGATTTGAAGAAAAGATCTAATGGACGAGCTAATTGGAATCACAGAACTCAAATAAGTAAGACTTCCGCCTTTTTTTTAATTTGGCAAACGAAGAAATTGCCACAAAACACTTGCATACAGTTTTGGGACAGAGTGCGGTTGCCCGAACAAACTACCTACAAGCTTAAGCGCCCCCCCAACCTTTTCCCAGAAAATAGAAGAAAAAGACCAAAAACTGCCAATCCCAATTACTCCTTAGAAAATATTACCAAGCAAAAGAAAAACGCGGAAAAAAAGGAGAGTAAAAGTAAAGCAGCAGCAGCAGCAGCATGTACCAGTAGAAAAAGGGCCTGAAAAATCAGCTAAGCATCAGATCCAGGCGAGTGATACTGGCGACTTTCTTATCGCAAGATTTTTTGAAATTAATTGCCTGGCCCGCTTTTTAGCAATCGGATCCAGCCAAGAAGCTGACTTGCTTCTCTTTGTTTTGATGGTTTTTTTTTTAAATGATGAAAAACAGAAAAGAAAATAAAAACTCTTTTTTTTTCGTCTTTTTCCCTCGCTAAGACCAGGCAAACACTAGGAATGGTGGTATTTTTCCAGAAAGCAAAACGCATAATAAAGAATTAACAAACAAGGGAAGGGGAGATGACTACTGATCAGAGAAAAGAGAAAAATAGCTTACGCCTGATGCCGCTCCAGCGGTTCAAAGCTTGGTTCCGGCGAAAGGATATATAGAGGAAGGAGCCCTCACTATCGAATACAGGGGGAATACATTTAACAACCGAAGAACAACGGTGGATATTAGGGTTCTACGTTTCAGATGGGCTTTTTTAGTTCGACCCATTTTTGTTGGGATTAAATTGGAAAGCGGTCGCATGCTTTGGGCTTAGCATAACTGAAGTGGCGACAGCCTTCATTTTTGGACAATCATTGCTTTTGTGCCACTTTTTTCATCCCAATTATTTTGTATGTTTCGAGGAAATCAATTTTTTAAATAGTAATTCAACTGTGATGTTTGTATTTTTCTTTTTAACGTTATCATCATAAATTTAAAATTTAAATTTAAATATGAATAATAACATGTATATAATTAAAAAATGAACTATATCAGAATGTGATAAAAAGTGATTTGACTTTCCCAACACGAGTAGTTTAATATAGTTTCTCTATTATTTGAAATTAAAGTTTGAGATGAACTTTAATTGCTTCCGTCTATTTTTCCATGTTTATTAGTACACAACTATGGCTCTATATGGATTTGAAAATTTGTTTTGCTATGGCTCTATCCGAGAAGTCTTTTGAACAAAATAGATATCTTCAATATAATATGGTATGGTGATTATTAATGAGATCAGCGTCTCTTTATTTCTTTACTAAGGAAAAATACTATTGGAATTTGTCTTCCATTCTTATTGATGAGTCTGTGCGTACCAAACAAAAATCTTTATAATGATTCCCATTGCTTCCGCAAATCAAACACTTGAAAGAAATGGTTTAAACCCATTCCAATTGAGGAACTTTCCATGATGATTGCCATTGCCAATGGCAGAAATGGTTTAAACCCATTCCAATTGAGGAACTTTCCATGATGATTGCCATTGCCATTGCCATTGCCATTGCCATTCAAGAGTAGCAACCAACTGGGAGGTTAATAGCTTTGTAGTTAATCTCCTCCTAACTGGAAATTAAGAATCGAGCTGGAAGGGATGTTCACAAATTACCATTTTCACTATTGACATCTTTTTTTGTTATTTTTTAAAGGCAACAGCACTGCTGGTTGGCCATACCATCATCCAAAAAGTTTACTATTTCATTCCATCCCGAAAGTACTAAAGTCGAAACAAAACGAACGGGAAGCAGGAACACCCCGAACATATGCTCTCTCTTGCTGAGTTGAAAGTTGGCAACTGTATTAGCCTTCAATAGATGAGGTTCAAGTGGGACTTAATATTAAACCTATCTCTGCTGGTGTGAACCTATCTAATATCTATACATTAGTTCAACCACCCGTCATCTTTAATTTCTATGCTAGCGTGAACATTCGGTCTGGATAGTTGGATAACCGCAGAAGCTCTGCTTCTTGTTTACAAGAGACAATTCGCAAATCACAATGTCAAGGACATCTTTGAAGAGCTGCTCAAGGAGAAATAGTCACCAAGGGCAAAGGAGAGGAGCAAAATATGTATAAAGAGATAAGGGCGATAAAGAGACAAATAAAAAGGAAAATAAAGATAAAGAGAATTAGTAGCGCTAAAAAGACCACATTCCAACGGATGAGGTGGATGAGACTATCTTTAAGATCAGGAAAGCTCACAAACTAAACACATCTGCTAAACGGAAAGCCTAACTCAATCTCAAATGGCAGCTAGTACTCATATACAACATATGCAACAATGTAACTTGGAGCTTTAAACACAGCAAATATATGCCCACTCATCGATTAGCCTACTAATATTCAGGGTAAAGCTACTTAAATAGAAGACAAAAGAGACAGAGAAGAGGGTGGAAGCAGTAGAGGAAGAGAATTTCGAAAACTTTATAATGCAATTTCATGACAAGCCATCCATACCACAAACAATAGTCAAATACAATGCAGAGAAGTTTCTTCAAAATTCTCCCTAAACCAATTATAAGGATAAATTGCCTCCACCATACTTGTTACAAACATTTTTTAAGAAAATAAAACAAATACTATCTTTAACCACAATCAAGAGTGCATACAAATCCATCCAGGGAAAAAGTAGTGCTTAGAGCGAGAGAGACAGAGAGAGAGAAAAGAGCTATTTAACACATAAACTTCTTCCAAAGGCATATGCAGTATAACATACAGCAAATTTAGCTGAAAACCCGCATTCTTGTGACCCGCTACCCAAGTTCCTTACTGGTTCACTGTAATAACACATTGAGGAAAAAGGTTCATCAATTGTCTTTAAACCAAACCCTACTCCATCAAGTTAAAAATGGATGATACATTGGGTGCCAGGTGATTTAACCAGTATAGACATCTCATTGTACCGTTGCAGTAGCCTTAAATAGGAATACTAAGAAAAATGTGTCATGAGAACCCAGATTACAAATGAATACCTAGTGAAAGATAAGATTCTCAGATTGTTATAGAACTTCATTTGGCAAGCAAATAGAGATGGCATACTTTGATCTCCTCTTCCCCCACTCCTTTCTTTTACCAACAATCAACCCACCTAACAACTAAACCCAGATAGAAGAGAAGGAAAGCATCTACAACCAAAAATCAGGAAGAAAAGAAAAAAAGAAACTTATACATAGAATGAATTCCAAAGAAGGTAACCTGCAATTATAATGGCGAACTCTAAAAAAAAATAAAAAAATCTCCCTTTTCACATTCAACTGGCTACTGTAATCAGTGCAACAAAAAGCTGACTGAAACTCGTCAATCACTAGCCCAGAGCACATAGGCATCAAAACTTCTCAGAAGCAGAGCAAACTACAAAAGCTCGACAGCTTCACTACTTTATCTTCTATGGCAAACTCTCCTTTCATTTAACGTCAACAGTGGAAAATGCGGGCCAGATGCAAATCTCTAAAAGATTCTAGATAACATAGGAAGACATACAACTGTGAGTCTGTGATGCAACAGTAAAGAAAAAGTAAACTAAGAGCCACTGAATACTGGAAGTGAAAGAAGAAAACTTCAGAATGAACAAGCCAATTGTCAGGACTAAGCGTTCGATAAACAGAACTTGAAGTAATTCTCCATACATCAAATTGGAGAAAACTTTTACCCAAATTTGCCAAATCAGTCCAAAACATTCCACCAAAATCTCAGCTTTTAAGTGTCCCCCAATATGCATACACATTATTTCCACAAAGAAAAAAGAAGCATTAAGTTTTCATTTCGTGAATCAACCTTACAGAAAATGCCTTCCATTTGTCAATGTACCAAGAGACCTTTACGGAATATCCCATGGCTTGGGCTCCGGCAAAGCAACGACCATCCCCTGAAGCTCAGGGGTGAGAACCACCTGACATCCAAGCCGAGAGTGTTTGTTCAAAACCCTAACCCGAGAATTCCTCTTCAGCACATACTGCTCGTCATAAGTAGGAGGCGGCAGCTTCTCGAGCCACTCCTGAGCGATGTGGACCTCGCACTCAGCCGAGCAAGCGTCAATCTCCTCAAGCCGGTGGGAAGCCGGGTCGATTAAGCCGTGGTTAGCCAAAGCTTTTAGGAGAGTTTGACCCGAGAGACCGACTACTTCTCGCTTAATGCCGTCCGGATCGACTACGGAAAGCTTGACGATGCGATCCGCAACCTTAGCTGAGGGGGATGAGGAAAGGGAGGCGGAAGAGCGGTTGATTATGGCTCTGGAGCAAAGGGATAAGGAGGGGCTTTTGGAGACCTGAGAAGCGAGTCTCTGCAGAGCTGCGATCGCCATTGTTGCTGTTGGAGGACTGGAAGAAGGTCCGAGGGTTTCATAAAATGGGAAATTTACCTTTGTTAAAAGCGCGCAATTTGATATTCTTCTCTGCGTCGTCTATTACTACGTCGTTTAGATGGTCCTCATAATTGCAGACCGTGCGACATCGTTTTTGCAATCCCAAAATTGTTGAACATGCGACATCTTTTTTTGGAAACGCTTTGCCACGTTTGGATAGAAGATTATTTGAAATAATTTTTTTAAAAATATACTGTAAAATTTTTTATGTGATATATTTTAGATAAAAAAATATATATTAACGATATAAGTAAATCAGTGTATGTGAATAAGGTATAAATCAAACACAATTTTTTCGAGAAAAAGTCCGATAAGAAAACGTTATTGCCACTTGTAATAAGTAGTAAAGACAAGAAAAGCAGGGAGGTGAAAAGTTTTCTTTGCTCTTGTACTCTTTGTAGTATTAAGTTATAGGAGAAGTATTACTGTAAAGGGCAAATTATCCAATTGGTCCTTTAACTATTTGTTTAGGTAAAATTAAGCCCCTCATCTATTTTTTGATGACTTTAAACCCTTGAACTTGTAAAAGTGGGAAACCGTGGCCCTTTTAGCCAGTTTCTCCGGTTTTGCAACCGGAGGACCAATTCACACGAATGCAAGTGTGCTTCTTCAAAGGACATTTTTGTCCGCATATTCTAAACAAAAAGGGCACAACTCCTCCCTCCTTTCCATTTTCCGAACCCAACCCAACCCAACCCAACTGCTAGTCGAAACTTCACAGCAACAATGGAAGCAACAATGGAGTGGCAAGAGAAAATCTTTCCTACATTTTCCTTACCCATTTTCATCTTCCCTTAAGGATCTTTGCGGAGGGAGAAGAGCAAGAGAGAATCAGCACTGTCGGGTTTGGGTATCATCGAGATTGAAGCAACAAGGAGTGGCAAATCAGGCCGGAAAATCATCGACATTGAAGCAAGAGAGAAATCTGAAAGGAAAAAAAAAAAGAGGAGAAGGTAAAAGCTTTGTGAAGGGAAGGAAAAAATGCGCAAATATCGCAGCCCTCTGCTTCCTACTTGTCGTTGTGGTAAAGTCACGAAGATGATTACTTCTTGGACTGATAGAAATCCAGGAAGAAGGTACGCCGTTTGCTCAGAAGAAGTTGGTGGCTGCGGGTATTGGAATTGGATTGACGACGAGATGTGCCGTCGTTCTATTGAGCTGATACCAGGCCTTCTAAGGAGGATCAATGCAACAGAAAAGCAAAAAGACGAATTTGAAACTGCAGCCGCGAGATCCGAGGCAAAAGCTGCCAAATTGAAGGCAAAATTGAGAGAAACAGAGAAGCAGCTGCGGTGGCAAAAATGGTTGAATAAGTT